TTAAGCTCACTAATTATGAGGTGTGACTTAGCCAAAGATCGCATAACTCACTTTAAGACCATAGCTTCTCCTATTCTCATATCTCTAAGGTGTCATATTTCTTAAGCTATTCTCCTTGTAAACTAGTGGAGAAAGCTAGGTTCTAATCTTTCGACAAACTATAGGACAGTCCCTCGACAAACTGTAGGATAAGGCTATACCCTAGTGCATTGGAGAGCAGCCAAAATACCATATGAATTTTTAACTACTCCCAATCCCTAAGTGAACTCTTGCCCACTGATCATGTCATAGACAATGCTCTCTCAATTTTCACGGTCTCAATTATTTAATATCAAAATCAACACATTGAACTCACAACCGTGCGCTACCTAAGTGAGCATAAATTCTTATCAATTACATCACATAAAGCCCATCATTTTCAATGTCATATATTTATCTTATCAATCTCATTATCAATTACTTATCCAAACCGCATTATAAAAATATGAATCATTTGACAATCATTTTTCACATGTTTAATACACATCAAAGCAATTATGTAAATACTAAGTTTCATTGCATGTTACACCATTCACGAGATACAATTTTCATATTAAACACATAATTTATCTCATATTACAATTAATAGACAACTACCCAAAGTAGGGTTTCTCCAGTTATTTCAAATCTTTAAGAGGTTAAAGGTTTGCCCCTTAATATTATTGCTTTTAAGCTTGAATTTCCAAGCCAAATTGATATCCAAGAGCTTAATCTACAATCATTAATTCTTTAATTCATCAACATTGCCAAACACACACATTCAATTCTCATTTTCCACTTCTAGATCACCCAATGCCCACTTTATATAAGTTTGGGCTTACTTATTAGGTTTATTAACTCTCTTTAGTCTCAATTAAAATTAATGAGCCATTAAACTCTCATTAATGAGATCACACTCTTTTAACAACCCTCATTAATGTCATTTTTGCATAATAAAGGGACCTAACCACTAAAAGTACCAAAACCAAATGTATTTAAGTTTAGATACTCTAATATACTCCTATTAATATATTTGAGTCAATAGATTTAGACCCATAACCTATATGAATTGAAAATCATCTCCTACTATCAAACCCTAACCAAAATTTCATAAATGTGGAAGAGATTAGAAGGAATGGGGTTTAGTGCACTTACCTCTAGTGTTTCTAACTTTCGTCTAAAAATAAACCCTAACAAAGCTCAACTCATCCTCTTCATTTTATCCTTTTTCTTTTTTCTGTTTCTATCACAATTTGTGACTCTTAATTTGTAGAAAATGGCCATGCATTGTGGTGGACACACAATAAGTTGTGGTGCATGGCACAGAGAGGTCCCCTTTTCATATCATTGTGTTTGTGCATCACGACTGATGTACTTCGTGCCGTGTCATGTGACACAGCAACACTTACTCCTTATTCTCTTCTCCTTTCGATACCCTGGTAGCCCGACTTGGTATCGGACCCACAATTAGAGCTAAAACACAATTGAATATGATTACCAGACCTCCTTAGCCACACACATTATAATTTACTTAATTTTCATGATTAAGCTTAGTTAATCAGGGGATTAAAATTCAAGATGTTACAACAGGGATGTCTCATAGCTACAATTTTATGGAATCGAACTGATTCTGTCTTCATCTTGATGGAATAGATTCTGACAATTTTATTAGAATTGCAATTCCTAGGAATTACAACTCTAGGCTACCAAACATGCCGAAAGTCAAATTCCATTTTCGTTTTCATTTCTAAGCTCAAAATTCAAGGATACTAAGTAAGGCCTGTTAAAGTGTATTTGAGAGTTTAGAATTGAATGGAGAGGAATGGTCAGAAATGGAGCAGAGTAGAGCAGAGCAAAATATAATAAAATTTTTCATTGTCTGATAATGTTATGAGGGGAAGGAACATTCTTGCATAATCATTGTTTGAGAGTTATTATAAATTGAATGGAACATGATTGATTAAAATTTTTTCTTTCAATATTATCTATAGGACCAAATTTAAAGGAAATAATAATACCCATTAAATAATTATAAGATTTGTTTAACAAAAAATAATAATGATAATTAAAATTAATGGTCAAATAAGGTACCCAAGAATTAAGAATAAAAAGAGAAAGAAAACAATAGAGCTACTCAAGTAAACATATATGGCACAAGAGAAAAATGAAGCAGCATCACAATGTTGAGAGGGGAGGGAGAGAGAAAGAGACACTGAGAGGGAGAGCTCTATGATAAAAGGTGAGAGAGATGGTTGGACAATGAAAATAACAAGTGAGATTTTTTATTAGGGTAGGAGGTTAGGGTAATTTTATAAATAAAATAATTATATTATGCAATTACATCCTTGATCCTCCAATTCGGGAGGACAAAAAAAAAAAAAGCTGTGGATAATAAAGGAGGGCTTTCCCTACCATTTTATCCATCTTTTTTTTTTAAAAAAAAAAACTCATAAACAATGGCTTGGGCCTTTTAGCCATTTCATTTCACTCAATTCCATTCTTCTCTAAAAAAAATCTCCCAAACATAATGTTATGGGATGATGGAAGGAAATAAAAATAATAATAAACTAATAATAAAATAAGTATATAAAAATGAAGTAGAAGAGACATTCCAAATGAACAAATTCAAAGTTAATTGAAAAGGATCTTTTTTATTCCCAAAAAATGAGGGATAAAGGATTGATCTCAAACAAAATCAAAATCAAAATGATTATAAATAAAATCTTGTTTGGTTTGATTGGGTATATATTTTTGTCTATTAAAATTCAAATCAAACTAAACTAAAACTTATTCTATCTAATTTATATATTTCTATAAAATTTTCTAAATTTTTTCTCTTTCCAAAAATTAGCTATCTATAAATTTTTAAGAATAATATATCAATTTTTAATAGTTAAATGTGTTAAATAATTGTTAAAAACTTTTTTCTTAGGATATTTTTTTAAAATAATATTAAATATTAAAATATCTCAAAATCAAACTTAATTCAAACCAAACCCCCCAAAAATTGAACCAAAATGATTAGAAAAAAAAATCAAGAAGCCTTAGGTTTTGATGAACTGATTAGTTTAGTTTGGTTTGATTTTTTTTTTTTTTATATTGAACCAAACTAAATCTATAAATATCCTTAGTTAGGGTTGAGTTTGTCACGGGAACTATTTTGAGCTCCTTTTTTATTTATAATTTAATTTAGGGATAATAAAAATTTTAGTCTCTCAAATTTATCTCAATTATCGATTTGGTCATTTAAATTTAAATTTTATTGATGTCATCTTTTAAGTTTATCTTTGTTATCAATTTAGTCCTTATTTTTTAAAGGAGAAATAACACAATTAAAATTTACTAACATAGATAAAGGAATATTGATTGTAGCTAGCCATTTAGATTAATGAAAATAAGCATATTATTTACGTTGAAAAAATAAATAGACTCAAGAATTAAAATGAAAAAAGAGCGAAACGCAACAAAAATGATCATATTAATAAAAACTAAACTGATTTGAGGGCTCATTTAGCTGTGTGTGTGTGTCAAGTTATTAATATACTTTATACATTAAATTAATTTGATATTTAATTTGTGCTTTAAAATTTAAAGGACTAACATAATAATTCAAAAAAATATAAAGGATCAAATTGATCAAAATTAAATTTGAGAAACCAAATCAATAATTGAAGTAAATTTGAGATATTAAAAATTCATTATATCTTTAATTTATTTTAACATGAGTAGCATTGTTTTTGCACATCAATTTCACGTTACACTTAGATTCCTATAAACTTGATTGTAGTTTAGGACATCTTTGTAAACTTAATTGGGCTAAAATATGATTTTTACCATGAGCCTATCTATTTAGACTAAAAATAATAATTTTGGCTCAAATTTATTTTGGCTTTTAAATACATATGAAACTTGAAAACATTTACAACTAATGACTCTAAAAGTGGAGGGTGAAACTAAAAGAAAGCTATCACTTTACACCCATAAAAGAAAAGCCACCATACATATACACATTCTCCAATCATTCTCCAACATCTTCGACAACTACAACTCTAATTAACTAAAAAGCATTCCAAATATTTCAACACGTACGTTAACCAAACCAGGCACTTACTCCTTCAACAAATTTGACACAGCATTCTTAGTGCCCCACACATCCAGTAGAGAATAATGAGTTCTTCAATAATTAGTGGAGCACCAATTCCTTACAAAATAATAGTAACAATAAGCTAGTACTGTTCTTTTATTTTTTTTCATCTTATACTTGCAGTAATTTCCTTTTTATCATTATTAATATCATGTATGTTCTTACCATGCAAATCTCACATATTTCTCCACCCTTATTTTTTCATTTCTTGTACTTTTAAGCTTTACATTTGGAGAAATTATGGTAAAGGACCCTATAAATTTATCGTTTGATTTAGAAGTCATGTTAATCACACTTTTTGATGACACATTCTTTTGGCACGCTCACGCACAATGGCACCAACAGGTATATTTAGATAGGTATAAAATTTTAACAAAATTTTAACAACACATACGGCCAGGCATTGATAATAAGAAGCTACTAAGAGGAGTTTTATTCAAAACGGAGTTCTGCAAGCAAAATCAATTTATGGGAAAAAAGGGGGTGTTTAGGTATATTTTCAAAACCCATGGTTTTAAATATGTAGATTTGTGTTGGTAACAAAAAAAAATGGAGTCTCTCCAAACATGTGCTGTATCAATTGCGTCTATCTTTCCTAATTTCTTTGTAGTGACAAAAAAAAAGTATATAGAAAAAGAAAATTTCAGTCCAAAAATGCAAGTGTATTTTTATTAATTTTGAGTGAGTTAGTAGCTTAGTGAAAATGACCGTCGTTGTTCATACTTAAGTCCCTGGTTTGAATCTCCTATAGTTCAAAGAGGGGTTTTATTTTATTTTATTATTTTTCCAGCCTAAATAAAATTACCGTATTTCCCCTTACTCAACCCATTTGATATTTTCTCTCCTTTCCGATTTGGTCTTGTGTTCTATTTGTGGAGAGAGCAAGAGCTTGCTCGGAAGCTTCAAATGCCTCCTTCGTCCTCCTCCCTCCTCCTCCTCCTTCCTGTTCATCGCCGGTAATCACGAGAGTGTCGGAGTCTCCTATTTTCTTCTTCGTTGGAGCAGTTGTTGGGGGGTGTGTCGATCTGCTTGGCTCTGCTCTTCCCATCTCTATGCCGTCCCCTTCATTCTTGCTTCTTCTGTCTCCTTCCTTTTGATAGCCGGCATGCGTGAGTGGTTGTTACCAGCGAGTGCAAGAGAGCTGGTCCGATGCTGTTGGAAGTTTGATTAACAAATTCCCTCCTCCCCTGTTTCTGTCGACTCCTTCCTTCTCCTTCCTGTCTTCATCGCTGGATGATTTAAGGTGAGAAGCTTCAATCTTTCTTCTTAGGAGTGTTTATTGGTTGAGGTTCTGAAATTTTTTCTCTTTCCTTTCTCAGCTACCGTGAGTAATGTGGATGGAGGGATTTGGTTTTCTTTGAGTTTATAAATGGATTTTTTGGTTGAGGGGGTGGGATGTGGGAAGATTAGATTAATTCAAGTATTGATATTGTCGTATTGTTAGGGGAAAAATTATTGAGATGAGATTTGAAGAGAAGAGATTAGTATTAAATATGAAGATTAATGCTTGTAAGATGTTTAATAAAATGTTTGTTAGGTGGGTTTTACTTGATTATGTATTTTCTGAATCCTATTATATATGAAGAGAAGCATGAATGACTTGGGGTGCTATTTAGCTGAGCAGAATTCAAACTCGACAGGGAATCTTTGTATGACAGACCTGTCTTACTACCCTTCATCAACCTCTCCGTACTACTCCCTTTCAAAGTATGTCCTTCAGCATTCATTTTTTACTGGAGAAAATAAAGTTCTCGCCTGCCTTCTCAGTCCCTTTCGTGCCACCCCCTCCATCTCCCCCTCCACTAACGTCGCCATCTCCGCCGGACGCTTCCTTCTATCTCTCTGTCTCTCTCTCTCTCTGATGTCTTCTTGCCTATGCCCAATTCTTCGTTGTCGATGTCATTTGACATAGAAGTTAATTTTGTTATTTAAGTAATTAATTTTCTACCTACACCAAATTCTTCCGAAATAATTATAACGCCGATAAAACACACTCTCTTTTAGCGAATCCATCTCTCTTCGTCGATGAACAAGCATTCCACAATCCGCGCCGTCCACCTTTGTCAGCCCTGTGTGGTTGTTCTCGGGCAAGCAACGAAGAAGGTTTGAACCCTAGGGCTTTTTCTACTCCCAAATTCTGGTGAGTTTGACTTGTTCAATCTGGCTTTGAATCTAGGCTTGAATTTGTTCCCCGCGTCATCTATCCCCTGCATCATCAATTTTGGAAAATTCTCAAGGTATTTGTGATTTATGATATTGTAAGTGACAGGGCTCAAGTTCTGTCAAAGTATCTGGAACACAAATTAAAAGGGTTATATCAAACATGCATATTTCAAAGATTCAGTGAGGGAAGATGCCCCTACTGAGTGTAGACAGATCCGCCAATGTTTACGAGGCTTTACAGTTATTTGTGTTGTCTGTTAGGGCTTTCCTTACGTGTTACTTTCACAAGAGGTGATTCGGAAGACAACTGACAATCCTTAGCATGCTTGGTCCTGATTGTGGATGAGTTCGTTGCTAGGCAAAAAGAGTTCAATGATGAATATAAACTGCTTCAAAAGGAATATCTTCTCCGCTTCATCCCCCCTTCCTGCTGTGCCACTTCCTGCAAAAAAGTATGGAATATTTTTGGGTATTCATTATCTGCTGGTATGCTATGGTTGTGGAACACATCCATTTTGTACAATTACATGCTGTCATTTCTTATTAATGTCATTCTATTCTGAATTAAATCTTTTGGTATATCGTTATAAATGTTGTCTACTGGTATAGCATAGATTTTCCAATCATCTATTACTTTGGAATGCAGGGAAGTTCATTTTTGGTATATTTTACCAGATGAGGTGAATAGCCCTAATCTATTAAATCAGTATTTGGAAATTCTGTCACCATGTGAAAAAGAAAACATCTTCCGCATGAGAGGGGAACTGCTAAAGAAAAGAGCACTCTTAGCTCGTACATTAGTTCGCACTACCTTAGCAAGATGTAAGATTTACAATTCTGTCGTTGAACTCTTGTTTTTTTTTTTTAATTTTCATTCCCTTTGTATATACCTTTTTAAAATGGCACAGTACAAATCTGTGAATACCTATATCATCTCTGATTCATCAAGTTAATGCACACACATCGTGTCCATTTAGTATTTGATCTTGTTTTTTTTTTTTTTTTTGGGTACTGGTTGGTACTTGGTACTATGGGAGCAAGATTGTTTTATAATAGCTAAATGCTACTGATGAACGCCCTAACTGAGTGGGCCAAGTATATAAAAGGAAGAGGGACAGAACAAGGGACCACTACAGTAGAGTGAGTTGGACCATGAGAGTACAAAAGGAAGCCCAGAACCTACTGTTGGCCCAACTGGCCAAGAGGGAGGGGGCCAGAGTTAGTTTTCTAGGGTTGTGAACCCTAGGGAGAGGCAGACGGGATGTTGGTAGTTTTGGGAAGTCTCTGACCTCTCAAAAGTCAAGGAAGCATTCACTCTTTTCTTAGTTACTGTTCATTTTGTTATTAGCTTGTAATTGGATTTACTAGTCATTTTGTGCTGTTTTACCTCTTCTTACTATACCGAGGAGGTCTTGTACTAGTTTATCCTTAGTAGTTGAATATAATAGTGAAGTTTCCATCATCTTTAGTATCAGAGTGGGTCGATTCTTAGGGCATGGTTAATACCAAAATGGAAGCAAGAATGGAAGAAATGGAGGGAGGCATAGATGAGCTACAATGGGCTGCCTTGGAGGCTAGGGAGGAGAGAGCAACTCTGTAGCAAACATTGACTCAGCTGCAAGAGCATAACAATGACATCTTGGCATTGTTGTGAGACCCACATCGTAATATCTACCGTCGTGAGTGTCCACCTAGGGCTATAGAGATACTTAAGGAGACAGAGGGGGACATGGAAATAATGACAATACTGAGAGAGATGGACAAAAGTATAAAAAGCTAGAGATGCTCTTGTTTGATGGGGAAGACCACATAGGATGGACTTTCAGAATGGAGCGATACTTTGTTGTTAATGGTGTCCCTAAACCCAAGAAACTTGATGCTACAGAAGTAGGATTGGAAGGCAAGGCAGTGAACTGGCTTCAATGGATGGAGACATGAGCAACTATTCTTAGTTGGCCAACATTCAAGAGGGCAGTGGTAGAAAGTTTCCACTGCAGTTAGAGTGGAGACAACCATGAACGACTAGTGGTGTTGAAGCAGGAGGGGTTCGTGTCAGTATTTAGAGAGAAATTCGAGATGTTATTGGCGACCCTCCCTGAAGTATCTAAAGAGTCTTTGATGGGCATGTTCTTGAATGGGCTCAAGGGTGAGGTTAAGGCTGATGTAAGACTAATGAAGCCCAAAAATCTCAAAGAACTCATGGATGATGCGTACCAGGTGGAAGGGGAAATCCCACTTTATAAAGGGTGGAAGAAAAACTGGCCATAAGCAACAAATAGGTGGGGGTGATGAAGTGGCCTGATAATAAGCCCACTGATGCGAAATACCCAAGCTTGTTAGAAGGTGCAAGAAGTGTCCCATACATACCTCAGAATTGCATGACCAAGACCAAAGAATGTGACAACACAAAGGAAGTGAGCCTTAAAGCACGTTTGCAAACGCAACTTTGAGTAGTAAGAGCAGTTCCAACGTGTGACCTAGGTCATTGACGGAGGCCGAGTTGAATCAGCGTCGAGAACTGGGATTATGTTTCAAGTATGATGAAAAATAAAGACCAACCCACAAATGATAGGGGAAGCAATTTCGATTCATCATGATTAATGAAGAAGAGGAAGAAATTGAAGAAAAGATTTTGTTGAACTTGAGATTGAAGGTGATGATAAGGTGATGGCTTTAATGGAGTTATCTCAAGCTACTATGGTGGGCTTCTCGAGGTACCCATACAATGATGGTGACAGGGATGCTTAAAAATCATCCAGTGATAATTCTTATGGATAGTAAGGCTACCCACGATTTCATCACACACAACATCATTGTAGAATTGTCCATGAAAGTTACACCTACACGCCCCTATCAATTACTATAAGGGACGAGTGAAAGTCTTATTCCAGAGGTGAGTGCAAAAATGTTCATATTAACTTGTAAGGAATCAAAATAACTCAGACATTCTACCCCTTTCAATTGTCCAATATTGATCTGGTGTTGGGAGCTGCATGGTTAGAGACCTTGGGAGAAACTTGAGTTAATTGGAGCCATTTTATATGAAGGTTAAGGTTGGAAATTCCTAGGCATGTTTAAAGGGGGACCGTACTCTGATTCAGGCTCAGGCATCATACAAAGCTATTTTAAAGGCACTCAAGGCAAGAGTGAGGGGTATTTACTAGAAATTAGTGCATTCCTCTTAGTCAATACGGCAGTTGTTGGAAGAATTTCCAATTGTATGTGAGCCTGCTTAGGAGCTACCACCGTACAGGACTCAGGACCATGCAATATTGATTAGAGAGGGGGCACAATCTCCTAATGTAAGGCCCTATCAGTATGCTTATGGGCATAAGCAAAAAATGAAAAGCTTGTCAAAGAGATGATCAAAGCTGGAATCATTAGACCCAGTAGCAGTGCTTACTTGAGCCCGTCCTCTTGGTCAAGAAAAAAGATGGAAGTTGGTGCTTCTGCGTTGATTACCGGGCCCTCAACAAAATCACTATTCCAGATAAGTACCTTATTCCTACTATTGATGAATTACTAGATGAATTGGGTGGGGCCGCTATTTTCTCTAAACTAGATTTAAAATCTGGTTACCATCAAATCCATATTAGGTCTGGGGATGAGCGCAAGATAGCATTTAGGACTTATGATAGCCATTATGAGTTCTTGGTTATGCCTTTCGGGCTCACCAACGCCCCTTCCACTTTTCAGTCACTCATGCACGGCATATCTAGGGACCATATGAGGAAGTTTGTAGTAGTCTTCTTTGATGATATCCTCGTATGCAGCAGGGATATAGGTTCTCACATGAAACATTTGAGGGTGGCCGTAGAAATTCTACGACAACGTCAGTTGGTTATGGATAAAAAAAATGCAGTTTTGCGCAACAAAAGGTGGAGTACTTTGGACATGTAATTTCCTTAGAGGGAGTTCAAGCTGATCCAACTAAAATTGAGGCCATGGTTAAATGGCCTACTCCAAGGGATGGGAAGAGTTTGCGAGGATTTCTTGGCCTTACTGGTTACTATCGTTGGTTTATAAAGAATTATTTGCAAAATAGCTGCTCCATTGACAGCGTTGTTGAAGAAGAATGCCTTCCGATGGCATGATGGGGCTTAAACAGCATTCAAACAGCTGAAAAATGCCATGATTTCCGCCCTTGTTCTGACCATGCCAAACTTTCAGCTTCCTTTTGAAATTGAAACCGTGCTTGTGGGTCTGGGATAGGCGCTGTTCTTATGCAAAGGGGAAAACTGATAGCATACTTTAGTCAACAGCTGTCAGAAAAAGGAAAAAACGGTTTTGTTTGTGAAAAGGAATTGATCACTATAGAGCTAGCAATGAAGTGATGGCAGCATTATTTGGCTGCAAAGCCTTTTGTAATTCAGACAGATCAGGAGGTCCTGAAACATTTATTAGAACAGCTTATTATAGTTCCAGATCAGAAAAGTTGGGTCTCAAAACTGATGGGTGCAAGTTTGATATTCAGTATATACCTGAGAAGGAGAACTGAGCTGTGGATGCTCTCTCACGGAGGGATACCTATGACTTGGCATTTAACACTTTTTCTTTATGGCAATATGTAGATATGGAGGAATTTGAGGTTGAAATGGCCATGGAGGGAAGAATATGATATATGGAAAAAAGTGCTTGTGGGGAAAGAGGTTCCAGCAGGGTATTCCATGAAATGGCTGTTTCCTATATATGGTAAGCTGGTGATTCTCAAACATTCACCAAAAACTATGGCACTCATTAAAGAATTTCACAACTCTCTTATTGGTGGTCACTTGGGGTACTTACGCACCTTCAAGCGCTTATCAGAAGTAGTTTATAGGGAGGCAATGAAAAAGGATATACAGGAGCAAGTAGCTAAGTATGAGATTTGTCAAAGGAACAAATATGAGGCGCTTAGTCCCGCTGGGCTGTTGCAATCCCTTCCAATTCCCTTACAAGTTTGGAGGATGTGAGCATGGATTTCATAGTTAGACTACCCAAATCTAACAAGTTTGACACCATCGTGGTAGCGGTGGACAGACTCACCAAGTATGCTCATTTCGCCCTCTTTTTCATCCTTTGATAGCCATGGAAGTTGCTGATGTTTTTGTCAAAGAAATCGTAAGGCTGCACGTGTTTCCCAAGTCCATAGTCTTAGATAGAGACAGAGTGTTCATCAGTCATTTTGGGAAGGAGTTATTTGTTTATTTGGGTACTACATTGAGGTACAGTTTGGGTTATCATCCCCAAACTGATGGCTAAACAGAGGTAGTTAACCAGAGTTTGGAGAATTATTTATGCTGCTTTGCTGGAGAATCACCAAAGGAATGGGTTAAGATGATTCCATGGTTAATACCTCCTATAAAGATCAATTGGCACCACCCCTTTTAAGGCTCCTATGTGGCTGAGACCCTCCAACCATTTTCAAGTGGCAAGATGATACATCCCTGGTAGAAGAGGTTAATGAGCAAATCAACTGTAGAAATGAGATTTTGCTTGTTTTAAAGTCCCATTTAGAGCAGGCACAAGTTCAGATGCAGCAGCAAGCCAGCAAGAAGCATTGGGACATGGAATTTAAGGTGGGAGACATGATTTTCTTGTGGATCCAGCCATATAAATTGAAGAAATTAGCTGAGAAACAGCATGAGAAACTCGCTCCCTGGTATTATGGGCCTTTTGAAATTGTCCAGAAAATTGGGAAAGTGGCATACAAGCTCAAGTTACCCGATTCCACTAGGATACACATGTATCACAGCTTAAAAAATCAGTTTTCACTGGGGAACAAGCTCAACCCTACCTACTTTTCTTTCTGAAGAATATGAGTTGCAAGTGCAGCCATAAGATGTTATTAAGATGCACAAAATGACAGATGGCAGCTATCAGATCTTGGTGAAATGGCAGAATTTACCGAATTGTGACAGCACCTGGGTAGTGCTGGACAACATTCAGCAACAATTTCCACACTTCAGCCTTGAGGACAAGGTGAATCTTTTTTTTTTTTTTTTGGGGTGTAAATGATGAACCCCCTAACCGAGTGGGCCAAGTTTATAAAGGGAAGATGGACAGAACCAAGGGACCACTACAGCAGAGTGAGTTGGGCCGTGAGAGTCCAAAAGGGAGCCCAGAACCTACTGTTGGCCCAGCTGGCCAAGAGGGAGGGCGTCAAAGTTAGTTTTCTAGGGCTGTGCGACCTAGGGAGAGGCAGACAGGATGTTGGTAGTTTTGGGAGAGCCTCTGACCTTTCAAAAGTCAGGGAAGCATTCACTCTTTTCTTTGTTATTGTTCATCATTGTTATTAGCTTGTAATTGGATTTACTAGTCATTTTGTGCTGTTTTACCTCTTCCTTACTAGACCGAGGAGGTCTTGTGCTGGTTTATCCTTAGCATTTGAATGTAACAGTGAAGTTTCCATAAGCCACCCAGAAACTTTTCTTGCTAAATATATTTTATCTATTGACTATTGCCTTCTTTAATGTAAACGGAGAACCAACACCCTTATTTTCACCATCTATAAACTTTTCTCCGGCACACAGCTGAATTTTTATGGTAACTGTTGTGTGAGCCCTTTTGAACTGAAATCAACCATGTCATGTTCCTCTTAAACCATAGCCTAATTTACATGACTTTACTTGATGTGTTTTACTTAGTAGATGTATTTCTTTAAGCTTCATGGATATTTGTTCATGTGGAAATACTGTCAAAGTTTAGTCTGGAAGTTTTATGATTTCTTTTCTGCATACACTGCTTTTGATCATGTGATGTGTAGATACTAAAGCGTGAGAGAGGCCAAGTATCTAACATATTATTTATTATTAGACCAGACGAATTGTCAGATTGATCCAAAATATTTAAAGTTTAGGAAGAACAGTTATGGAAAGCCTGAGGTAAGTTCTTCTAATTGTTGATGCCTACATGGAATGTTCTTTTTTCTTATTTGACTTACTCCTCAACTTGTCTTGTTATTAATCAAGGCTTTTAATGGCATATTTGAATAGGTAGACTGGCAATATTTTGATGATTGGAGCCTCCCACCATTGCATTTTAATATCTCACACACTTCATCATTAATAGCTTGTGGAGTGGCAATGGATTATCCGGTGTGTATTATATGCAATATTCATATGTGCATATTCTCTTAACTTTATGACTTCTCCCCCTCCTTGTGTGATTGTTGTTTTTCTTGTCGAAGGGTATCTGTTATCTGAACTGATTGAATTTTCTGACAACGTTGTAGATTGGCATTGATGTGGAAGAGAAGCAAAGAAGGTTAAAGAATAATATTTTAGCTTTTGCTCGACGATACTTTACTCTTTATGAACTGGAAATGCTGGCTGGTATTTCAGATCCTGAAACTCAGCGACAGGAGTTTGTAAAATTATGGACTCTGAAGGTTGGGACGGACATGAAATGTTTATACTTTCCTTGTTTGATCTATACTGGTTTCTTATTCAGTTATCCAATGCATCAACTGACCAGTTAATGTAATGTAGTATAGATAAACTTCATTTGAAGTTATTCCTTTCCCATATAATGAAAGGTACAATTCAATGAGAGGATAACTTCTCACTGTTGTAGGTTGAAATTCAAAGCATGCTCTGGTTCTAGTGAAAAAAAAAAAAAACGTGTTCTGCTGTCCTGCGGTTTTCACTCACGGTGTCATTCCCATTTGTAGGAAGCATATGTAAAAGCATTGGGGAAGGGCTTCTCAGCTTCACCTTTCAATAAATTTACTGTTCGATTAGGAGACTCCATGAAAAAAGGCACATGTCATGTGCCTGATCTGATTTCTGAGGTATGCTCCACACTTGAAGAGTTGGCTTGTGGAAAGCTCTGAGAGATTTTAGCCATTCATGACCTGATTCTTCTTCAAGACTCTACTTCATTCAACGGAATCGTAGTATAGTATTTATTATTCTTCTAACAAATTAAATACTCTTGACTATTTTATTTCTTGAATTTCTCATTGCATAAATCCTTTTGTTTCATCTGCCTTGTGCACTTTGCTTGCCTGATAGGCACCCGAGATAGTTATTGAGTCATCAGGTGACCCGAATAATCCCTCAAGAAATTGGCAATTTGTGCTTCTGGAGTTGTTGGGTTCTCATTACGCCGCGATTTGTATGGAGCAGGACATGATCTCTGGAGGTACTCAGTCTTGTTATATTTTGTACGAACTATTATATAGCGGTTGCTAGAGATTTATGTTAGTGGTTTGTAGGCAATGGTGGCGTTCCGATAAATTTGACCATACGGAAAACGACCCCCTTTGTTGAAGACGAATATATATCTGGCGCTGATGTTGCAGTAGTTGGTGGGTTGACTAGACTCTAGAGTTCTGCGGCATAATGACTGCGATGCAAGAAGCGCCACTCCCATATATCGTGCACAAATTACATACTTGTTTGTGTACTCTGTCTGAATGGAAAACTTATTTCCCATTTTCCATTGACAATTTTGTGATATATTAGTTCTGTAGAGGTGACGCTGTAGATCATAAATCGTGGTTGTGGTAGGAGCTCTAGTGTTCTATGAATGACTTTTAAAAAAAAAAAATTGTTCTTTCCTTTGAAATGAATGGGACCAAATTTAAAAGAAATTTTGGATTTCTTCATTATTGCTGCCATTTTGTTTAAAAAAAATTGCAAATTATGACGTGAACTCGGTCCAACCTGAGATAATTAAAGCGCTTTGGTCTAATGCTAGATCAATGAAACAATGTCACGTGGCAAACAAAATTGAGTATAAAGTGCATCTTACCTAATGGAGATAAGAACGATTGGACCTAAACTTAATATATGTCCTGAGGGTAAGGAGGACATTTTGTCGATTTTAAAAGTTTTTGAGGATTGAGGAGATGTTTGCATTTAATATCTGATGGTGTTTTGAATAGGATTGTTTCAAGTAAGAGAATACACGTAGCTAACTAGAGAGTTTTTGGAGTTTTTTTGGGGTACAGTTTGTGAAAGGGTTGTAAATGAAATAAAAAAGACAGAATCACCAGATGCATGACAGCGCACTGAGGCCCTTATGGCAAAAGCCGAAAAAAGGGGGAGGAGTGAAACCAAAAAGAGGCCCGGTCCAAAATACCCAATGAGAGACCCGATTCGACCGCCTAATGGCAACGACTTTCTTGGTAACTTGCGTGATCAGTAGGGCACACGACACTATTCTCATTCGAAGGTGGACGCTGACATCCTGTGTGTTTTGCGCATTTAGGTACTCAAGCTCTTCATGATGTTTCTAGATATTTAAGCGTGCCATTTTTAGCATCAGTAGTTAGCGTGCCGAGCGTCTGGCCAAAAATATTATCGTGTCGAACGTGAGTTTGTCTGATGTAGGTCGTATGCTGTTATTAGTTAACAAAGCAATTGCTTTAACTAATTATGAGCATGAAACACGTTTCACGTAGTATATTGCTCGTTGATATGGTTAGGCCCTGACTGATTCAGGGCTTTGTGTACTCTGCTGCAAATTTTACAGCACAAGTGTTTCCGAATGCCTTTTCGTATAAGATATTCTTATGCGTGAGAATCTAAGACAAGGGAGACGGTGGGCACAAGTTGTGTTCAATCTGTCGATGTACGGGTAACTGTTCACATGTCAACCTAAATTTGTTAATTATCAGAATTCTAATAAACTAATCATGTAGTGTTTACCTTCTAAGAGGAGGTAAGGAACATAAAGAGGAGAGATTCGAGCTTAGGTCCCCTTTTTTACAGGTTTGGTAGTTACAGTTATTAGTACTTAATTGGGGTCTATATTTCATTTTCACGCGTCTATGTGCGTGTCAGTTTGTGTGGCTTAACTATTCTTATTTTGAGATGTTTATAGAAAGATTTTGGTTTGGAAATATAACCCAGTCTTTGCATTTAACTTCTGATCTCTATATATTACGTATATTGTCCTGTTTACATATTTATATTCTGTAGCGTAATTTCTTATTCCTTTCTCATGTTCCTTTCCCCTCTTTCTCTGTGTGCGATGTCCCAGACAAATAGTTAAGCTATTACACTGGCCACTGTTTTCTGGGCAACTTTCCGGGCTGGAATTGCAGGAAATTCACTTCATTTTTTCCTCTGTTTGGCCTATTTGGCATCATAAGCCTCATATTTTTGTTCTAAATTCTTTCTTGCCTGTCTCTTTCAATCGGTACCATGCTACGCCTTGATTTAGAATCAATCACTTTGCAATTCCTTGGGCCATGCTACAAATTTCTCTGTAATTCCATTTGGCCTCTCATGTTGTTTCCGCCATTCCATACTTTCATTCTCTCTTCTATCAATGCTTCTGGCTTCAATGCTTCCTTCGCAGTTGCCCCTGAAGCTTGCTATTTTAGATTAGAAAAATGCCAGGGATGAGAGGCAGTGATGTTGAAGACCAAAATCCAGAGTCACGAGAGAAGCAGGGTGACCTTGAAAAGCCTACAGATTCTGAAGAGAAGGTAGACTTTGATGGGGAAAATGATGAAGGGGATACCATGGAGGAAGAAGTTGAATATGAAGAAGTAGAGGAGGAGGAGGAGGAGCAGGAGGAAGTGGAAGGGGAAGAGGAGGATGAGGATGGGGTGGAGGAAGAGACTGAAGGAGCTGGCAATAGAAATGTTGCGGACATTGAGGATGAACATGAGAAAAGGAAGCTAGCAGACCTTCTTGAACTTCCACCTCATGGATCAGCGGTTTACCTTGGTGGCATTCCTCACAATGCTTCTGAAGAGGATTTGAGGGACTTCTGTCAATCTGTGGGAGATGTATTTGAGGTAAGATAAACAAAGTTCTCCCAAGTTCTTTCTTGACTGTTCATTCAAACTAACGTATTTAGTGCAGGTTAGGATTATAAGGGGAAAAGAATCTGGTGAAACGAAAGTTTATGCTTTTGTGACCTTCAAGACGAAGGAGATGGCTTCTAAGGCTATTGAGAAGCTGAACAAGTCTAAATTTCAGGCGATTTTCTGAACTTAGTTTCCTCTCTCTCTCTCTCTCTCTCTCTCTCTGTTCATTAGATCTTGGACATAGCTCCCTCTTTTTGTTTTGATTTTTATTTTTCATTTTCCCCCTTATTTTAGAATCTTTTCTTTTGGGCTGACTGCTATTGCCGTAGTGTTTACTTCTGTGTTTTTTGGAACCACCCTCTGATTTAACGTACTTCCGTTCCAGGGAAATGAAATAAAATGCTCAGCATCTAAAGAAAAACGTAGGTTGTTTATTGGTAATATTCCTAGACATTGGACGGAGCAAGATTTGAGGAAGGCTGTTACAGAAATTGGGCCTGGTGTCAATTCTGTTGCTCTGTTGAAGGTCTTTGACACCATTTCCATTGCATATTTTATAATTTCCTTCCCCTTATTGCCATGATTGTGAAGTTTCTGATAGCACTTTGTGCATTGAGCTATTAACCATAGCTGTTTTGGTGTTTCAGGAAACAAAGAATTCAGATCGTAATCGCGGGTTTGCTTTTATTGAGTATTACAATCATGCATGTGCAGAATATTCATGGCAGAAGATGTCCAACCCAAAATTTAAACTTGACGACAATGCTCCGACAGTAAAGTGGGCTGAACCTAAGAATGCTGAATCATCTGCAGCCTCCCAGGTAATCTATTTTGTGCTTATAATTTTAAAATTTATTATGTGATTGCCTTTAGAAATTCCGTGATAAAATTGTTTCTAGGTTATTTTATGTTACTGTTCCTGTCGTCCTACATCTATATAGATGTTCATATTGGATGGTTTCCTTAACAAAGATAATCCCGTTTGTTTTTTACTCTGTCAGAGGTGCACTCATTTTTCTGGTTTAGCAAACTCTTGTATGTTTATATCCCTTCCTTTTTTTTAATGATGCTAATTTTGGCCTCTTGTTGGTTGATGAAAAGACTCAGTTTGCTATTTATATTGTTTTAATGGCCTTCCCACGGAAATTCTTGTCAATTTTAGCCTATCGATGAACTAAGTTATACATACTTCTGAAAGCTGTTTGACTGATGGCTGTTGCTTGATGCAGGTAAAGGCAGTGTATGTAAAGAATCTGCCAGAAAACATTACTCAGGATCGCCTTAAGGAGTTGTTTGAGCATCATGGAAAGATAACAAAAGTGGTACTCCCTCCTGCTAAAGCTGGACATGAAAGGAGCAGATTTGGTTTTGTTTACTTTGCTGAGAGGTCATCTGCCAAGAAGTCGTTGGAGGATGCCGAGAAGTATGAAATTGACGGTACATCTTCTTTCTCCACTCCCTAGTTTTCTCAAACAACAGTGTGGGTGAGGATATTACAATTTTTGGCTTTGACAGGCCAAGTTTTGGAGTGTTCGTTTGCAAAACCACAAGCAGATCAGAAGTCGTCTAGGACACCAGTTTCACAGAACTCAATTGTACTTCCAACTTATCCACCACAACTTGGCTATGGTTTATTTGGAGGTGCCTATGGTGCTTCGGGTTCAGGATGTGGTGCGGCTAGCTTTACACAAGTAAGTTGCACTTTTTCATGCTTTAAGCTTATCTTTGTTGTGTATTACTGACATCTGTGGGTGGATGGGATTTTTATCTTCAAAATACTGTCTCTACCCTTCACCTCAAAAATAAAAACCGATCTCTGCCTGAGTGAACTGCACATCACTAATCAATAAATTATGATCAATTTGGATCAGTGCCCTTTTGATTGGCCCCGTTTGTTTGGCTCTGTATTACTGTTGCTGAGATAGAAGTTACGCCTGATTTTGCAGCCGTTGGTGTATGGTAGGGGAGCGGCTTCTGCTGGTATCGCAATGATGCCTATGCTCTTACCTGATGGAAGGATTGGATATGTATTGTGAGTGTCATTTTCTTGGTTTGGATTCACTTGTTTATTTGGCCGAAGATGTTCAGCTCACTTGTACTCGTTTATAGCAGGGTCTTTCATTAGCTTTGTTTCTTGTTCAGCAAATTGATTATAATGGAGATTCCTTGTTTCTGGCTGTAGGCAACAGTCAGGATTGCAACAGCATTCTGGTGCATCGCCATCCCGTGGTGGCAGGAGAGGTGGCAGCTCCAGTGGTGGGAGACGCGGTGATGATAAGAATTGGAGCCGATATCATCCCTACTAACATGATTAACTTCCCTTCTACGAACTTGAGGCTTCCCTACTGGTTTCCTCCTCCACTGGAAAACTCAACTTGTTGCAGGCTGATCAAAATTTAGCTCTGGTCTGTAGCAATTCCATACATGTATGTTTTTCTCGGGGTAAATATTAACTTCTAACTTCTTCATTTTTGCTCGCAACGGCTGTAAGGAAAAAATAGAACTGAACAATGTGCGGGATGATCTGAGACTACTATTGACAGGGTTAAGGGTGTCTTTTGATCATTAAGCCGAAATTATGTTTTTTTTTTTTTTTACAACTTTAAAAACTACTACATTTTTTATTATATGTTGTTGAAGTTAAATTTAGGCAAAAAAATAATTTTTAATTCTCAAATTTTCTTTCAATTATCGATTCTGGCTTTTGAATTTTGACTTGAAATGTAAGTTAAGAATTTATGGAAGTTGGGTTATTTCAAGTCAAGAAATTATTAATTATTCTGAATCAAAATTAAAAAACTAAACTAATAATTCAAGAAAATTTAAGTGATAAAAATTATATTTTCTTTAAATTATATATATAAATATATATATATATATATAGATGAATAGATAGCAAAATGACAATTAAGTTTCAACATTTCAACTAAAATTTTTACAGATAATTGTAAATACAGAACTTGTAAACCTATCATAATTTACAATTGAAATTATTGTATTTGCAACTATCTAAATTAAGAATTTTTGGGAAATTATTTGTCATTAAATTTAAATTTTAGGACATAACTATTATTCTCTTTATATTTATAACCATAAAATTGAAACGAAAATAAAACAAAATATAAGAAAACAACTTAAGAGACTACTCAGTTTCAATGGCGTCCAGCGGTTGAATGGACTTGGCTTGGCTCCGCTGACACACTGTAGCTTAACTACATTTTGGTTATTTTTATTTTATATTTATTGAAATAAAAAATAATTTTTTTAATAAATGTAATTACAATTGTTCAAGTTTAATATAAATGATCTAAATTTAATATTTAAAATTCTATTATTTTTACGAATTGATTATCTAAATATATTTGGGATAGCGTGGATTTAATATTACATTTTTTTATAATTTTTATAAATTTTAATATTAAATTTATATCATTAATACTAAATCTAAACTGCCCAAACTGATAATTAAATTTATTAAAAAAATTTTAAAATTTAGATTATCAATATTAAATCTAAATGATTAGATTTATTACATTTTTTATAAGTATAAATCATTCATATTAAATCTGAATTGTTTGGACATATGATCATATTTATTAAAAAATTTTAATAATTTTTATTTTGATAAATATAAAATAAAAAAAATAAAACATTAAATCTTCAGATTTTTTCCAAAAGGCAGAAGAGCTGCGGAGGCGGGGAGTGTCAGCGGAGCAAAGTCAAGTTACTCAGAAACTGCTATTATATGACGTGTGAACAAAATCGTTCAAGAGATTTAAGTTTCTTGTTCAGGTTTGGACTGAGAGAATACATAAAAATTAGTTTGTTTTTGGGCCAACAAAACTAGAGTCTAAATTGCAATGGCGCATTTAGATATAGAAATTAAGAGTGTTCACACAAAAGGATGGAACCAAAACACTCTTATTTTATGTCCCGTCTCAAAAAATTATTAAAACTGAATTTTTATCCTTCGTTTCATTAAGAATTAGGATGAAATCAGGATAAAATTAGAACATCCTACTGTCCTGATAAAGCAAACAATATTGGAGAAAAGTCTAAATAAAACTTTCTCTATTAAAAAATTTAAGGCATTTTTTGAAGAATTGGATGTTAAAAAATGTAAGACAATTTAAGTCCTTCGAAGTGTAATTATTACCTTTTTTTTTTAAGTGTCCCTATTAATAATAATTTTATATTTATAATAGGGTGTTTAATAGAGGTAAATATAAAAGAATCAAAAGATAGAATTAGTTTGACAATAGGTAACTACTTTATTGAGAGTGAGATTCGATTGGAAATGCTTTACATTTTTGAACGGAGCAAGTAACATTTATTAATTAAAATTTTAAATCACATAACTTATTAAGTTTAAAACTAAAACAATATAAGTACATAAATCATAACAATTATTGAATTATATCAATCACAACTATAAATGTACAAATTAAAGTCAAGTATACATGATACATAACACATTATAATAGTACTTATAAGTGATTTATAGGCTATAAGAGCAACAACGACAAACAAGCCTGACACAACATCAAGTTATTGTTCTTTTTCTTTATTTGAAATATGTTAAGCTAGAGATTGTTTTTAAAATAAGACAAGAAATACGATATAAATAAAAATTATTAAATAGGTAGATATAAGAATAAATTATATTAAAATAATTAATATATTATAAAAAAGATATTATTATTAATATAAAAAAATTTAATTTTAAATAAGAATAACAAGTATTGAAACTATAATTAATATAAATATAAATTATATTAATATATTTGATGTATATTTTTTTAAAAAAATAATATATATACATATATGTGTGTGTATCTATATAATATTCAGGTTGAGATATCCTGTGAGTAATTTCAGATCCCATTCCGTTTTAAACTACTTTATTATCCCGTCCTGCAAAGTTCAGTCTCGATTATCTTTGGGTCAGGACCCATCCTAATATGACTAAAACAAAATTAAATCAATCAGAACAAGTACAAGGTGAACATTCTTAATAAAAACGTCATAAAATGCAACCGGAACAAAAGAGAATGCATTAATGCGGAAGAACAAATGTGCGTACATGATAACTAGACAAGGTAAAAAAGAGTATGCCAACCAACAGTGAAAGACGCTTGAGCTTCAGGAAACCGAGTCTCCATTAGCAAATAGCACTGATAAGATCAACGGAAAATCTGGAAACTACTTATATAAGCTCTATACGGACATCATCTAAATCTGAAGAACAGCTTGATGACCACTTAACCATCAAAAAAGGTCAAGCATAGCTGGCGCGGATCAACGGTAAAATGCAAGCTGGACCCACCATGTTTTTTAGCAAATACTCATACACGAGACTGATATACTGTAGAAAGAAACGAGAACAGCTAAGAGTCAAAAATCAAGTAACATTGCAGTCCCTGACATCTTTTCTTCAACTTAAAAATATAAGTTGGCTGCGCTCAGACAACAAGGCTTTCCAGGCGGATTGTGCGCCATTTACTTGTGCAACTTTGATGCCGCCATCATCATCCATAATGCCCTCAACAGTCCTCCCGGACTTGGTTCTCCGTCGTTATTTCTCGTATGGTTTTCACTTTTCAGCTTCTTGTTTTGCATGAAGAAAGTTTCTTATTAAAACCAGCCTTCAAAGCTTTTCCGTTCTAACATTATATACATTACACGGATTTTAAACAGGAATCTTGCAGCACTTCTGAAGGCTAAATACAAGCGAATTGACTTGCTTTGAGTCTAAATTAGTACCGAAAATTTACAGATGACCTTTGATCAAGGTCATCAAATCGATTAAGACCTGTTTCAAGGTTTACCATCTCACATCAGTCCTCCATCATTTTGGATAAAAATAACCACCTCTCTTATACAGACATCAATCACGATCATATTACACCATATAGAATTGTCAGGAACAAAATACTGAATTGGAAACAGACAAGAAGTTTGCAGTTAAAATGTCGGGAGAGAGCATTAATAATCGAATACAACTTGAAATTAATGCCAACACATGAAACCTAAAGTAAATATGCATAAATATCAAAACATGTATCCAAGTTATTGTATGTGATTGAGATTTAGTCATAATCAAGTCTATACATATACTTTTGGACATACTAATTTCATTGATACTCCTCATGTGAAGGCTGAGAAGTCCTTTGGTGGTTCGATCCAAATGTTCTCAAAAGGGTCTTGTTCTCCCCAGTCATGATACTGCTTATGAGGATAGTATCTACAGTCATCAAGAGAGAATGATATGCAGCGTTTTCCATAAAAACGAACTTTAGAGAAGTAGACGTGGTTTCTCATTATTCCAGGGAGATCAGTCCTTGAATGAGATGACAGGAAGCTAGCAAAAAGAGTTACTCCATCAAGTGTTTTCATCTCTTCCCACTCCAGAAGTTCCCGATCTAACTTAAAAATAATTGGGTTTTCACTAGAACAAGTATAGATAACTATTATATCTCCTTGGTGCTCTGTCATAAATTTCCCCTTCCACCAATTTTTGGCAAAGAATTTCTCTGGGCATTTGGGTGGAGGTACCGATAGAACATTCCATGTACATTCACCTGGGTCAAAAACCCCTAGCCAACCTGTAAGGCTCAGACAATAAAAAAGTCCATCACAATAGACAAGCTTATTCCAAATGCTACTGACAAAGGGCAAACGGTTCTGGTAATTGACAGTAGTCCATTCTGTTGCCCCAGGAAAACAAGTGCTAATAGCCACAACGGTAGGACTAACATGCTTAACAGTAAACAGAACACAGCTGGGAGATGTTGGAGCACAGGAAAAGGCAACTATCTGGTATGTCATCTCAAATCTTGGCAGTTTGATTATCTCCCGTGAAAAAGGATTAAAGAAAAACACCCGGTGTGTTCTGGGTCGGTAAAGTAGTAACCAACCATCTTTTGTATAACACACTCTAGAGCCAGTTAACTCTGGCAACTCAAGGGAATGGGTCTTGCGCTGCACAGGGTCATAGAAATCATACCAGCTG